CGAGTGTGAAGGGTTGGCCAAAAAGTCAGCTGAAAAGGGCAAACCTCGTTGTCTGAAAAATTGTCTGTTTGCAAGAGAATTTAATAGGGATGTGTAAGAATAGTTATGGCAGTGCCTAAGCGCGTAAAATATTTCGTTGCAGATGGCAGTGTAAGAGCAGCTATGTACAGAGGAAAAGACAAGAGAATTTGTATAATTCAGCTCTCATTTCTAGACCCAGTAGTGTGTATGAATTTTAAAGTTTATTTCTTGCAAGATATTTGGCATTTGTTAAATGTGTCAACTTCACTGTATTATTGGCTAAGTAGAAATCTTGTGTCAAAGCTTTTACGATTGACTTGCCAAATGGAAATTACACAAACTCTGCCTAACCATTCGATCATGGATTCTCTCTCTTTATGACTTTAGTGCATGGTTTGAATCTCAAAAATAATAGAATCGCTACGTAACGCCTAATGAAGCCAGGCTGAATTAGATAAAGTCAAAAGAAAGGAAATGAATAACATAGTACGTAGGGAAAGCAACCAGAGATTTAAGAGCACCAGGTTTTGCAGCTAAGGATTTTATCAACGTGAAGACTTTGAGGCCTTGGTCTTGACACGGTTTTGTTCTGGTACAAGCAAGAAAATTCAGATCACCGCCAAAAATGGCCTGACAAGATCCAGTCCTACTCATTTCTTATCGCATCAAGGACAGATATAGTACATGTTCAGCTGGATCTTCGTGAAATCCAGTGGTTAAAATCTAGAACATTTAATTTAGCAGTTCCCTCTTTTTCTTCTTTTTTTCTCTCCCGCTGTCCAAATAGGAGGTTGTTAGTGTAGGCGAGTCAAAATCCAGGTTTAAACCTCACACATAAAAAATAAAAATAAAAAATGAATGTCAACCCAAAAATTTAAACTACAAAATAAAACCTTGGGGAGTTTTGCCATCAAGAAAGCATTGAGTTACATATATCAATAAAAAATACATTATTGACTAGAAATAAAAAATTTAAGATTATATATATATATATATATAAGATGGATCTATCACCATTAATTAAAATGATGTCCATATTTACATGTAAGCCCTCACACGATTGAAACAATGCAGACATGGTTGGTTGATTCGTATTGTTGCTGTTTAATGGTTGAACTCAAAACTCATTAGTTTAAATTTTTAAGTTAAAGTAGTTCTATTCTTATATGTAAATTCTTATATATGTAGATGTAAATAACTCTCTAAATACATATCTCTTTTGTAATAACTAACAAGTTTTTTATTATACCAATAAGTTGTCAGTTCAATGATAAAGTGGTAAGCGAGCTAGTCTTTAGGTGAATTTTTTATTAACATGTAGGATTTGAGTTCTAATCGTATTTATTGAGAAGGATTAAATTTTATTGTTCTCGTTCCGAACATGATTAGTTTTATCTTCGATGTGAATGTTGTTACTTGGACAAAAATATTTAGATTTGTTGGTTAAGAGAATCAAAATATTAATATTTAGTCTTTTTTGTTGAATTAACTAAACCCACCAAAAGCCTTATCTATTTGTTTTGGTTTCCCACTTGTCTACTTGAACCAATATAATTTAATCACGAGGAGAAAGTATAAGTCAGCTGTTAATGAAATCAAATGCTAATATATATATATATATATATATAACACCTCGAATTCCTTGGAATTTATTTTCTCTTTATTAAAAGAGAAGAGTGACCATTAAACTATACCAAATGTTTAAACCATGTGTAGCCAATCCAGTTTTTTTTAATCAATTTTAAAAATATATATAAACTTAAAAATTTAATTACATTTCCATTCATAAATTATAAAACCATAAAATAGAAAAAAATTTAAAAAACTTAAAAAATAACTAATGTACATACACAATAGTGATTTGGATATATCCATTTTTAAGGACGAGATAGACAAAAGAAAAAAAAATACAACCGGATCCATCAAAAGTGATAAAAAAATTTTCACTTGGGTTGATTTTTTTTAAAAAAATTTCTCTCATATTTTTCTATTTTTTTTGTGTCTATCTTTTTCTTATGAAGTAACTTACTCTAATTACTTCATGAATAATATAAAATTCCTTGTAGAATTGAGTTTAAATTTCAAAATGCATAAAAATGTCTCATGGATTGTAAGATAAGATCCACTCATTATATTAAAAAAAAATTATAATTCTACAAAAATTTTAAAATATGTATATTTAGACTAAAAACAATAAGTTGGGTGATAGACGAATGAATCCCTTGCAGTTTTTGCATCCAGCTTTGGTTGAATTTTAAAAATATAATACAATCAGATCGAATGATATCAAATACCTAACAAATCCAATGAAATTGTTATCTATTTGCATCACATTTTTTACCAAAAGACAAAAAAAAAAAAAAAAAAAAAGACAGACACAATAAAGAAATGGAGAATAGGAGAGATCTAAAGAGATCAAACAGCAAGGTGGCAGCTCGCATGTAAGTAAGCATTGAGTTGTAAATCGGGTTAAGGATTCAATCCTTGTAATTATTATTTTTAAAAATTTATTCTTAAAATACATCGGATCGTGAATTGGGAAGTGTTCTTTAATAATGTCTAGAAAGAAATTAATCTCTAAGTATGCAAAAACACCTTTACTTTTGAAAAAAAAACAAAAGAAGATCAAACAGGCAACCACGCACAATTTAACGCAATATCGTGTCTTTTGCCAGTATAAGCTCCATCACCAAGAACTAACACTAGGTTATGGACAGTGGTTGGATAAAATCATTCTGAATCTATAACTTGAATGCTGAACATTTAATTTAATTCGTTGTGGATACATTTTTATTAAATATTTGATTATGGGTGGTTTACAGTTTGCTGAGCATGTGATTTGGAAATTTGAATTTTTATTAATTTCAAACATGAATTAAAATGAACTTACTGAGCAAAAATGGTATTTTGAATGGAAAAATTATTATGTCCAAATTTATTCCGGTTTTCTCACAAAAATATAGGATTTATTATAAAAATAATTTATAAACCTCATGTTCTTGTTAAGAAAAAAAAATAGTTTTCCTTATATTAAATAGTTCCTAAATAACCAGTAGGGTAAAAAATAATTTTAATAAAATTTTTTTGTGAACTAAATAGAAAATATGATCAAACCTAAAAGTCTAGATAATTTTTTTGCCAGCATTATTAGTCACATTTTACATCTGTTGCCCTTTAGCTGTATAATTCCTTACCAAACAAAGACTTAAATAATTTCTTAAGTGAGTAGTTCTTTTACTGTTTTGACCTACAAGTTTTTTCTTACAATGCTTACACTTAACAAAATCCTCTTCATTTGGTCATACGTCATGTTTCTGTAATATAAATTTGTTTTGAAGTACATTTTGGTCTCTGAATTTTTTATTTTTTTTAAAAAAAAATTTACGTTGATTCCTACATGAATAAAAAAAATTGTTGCAGAAGCATGATATGTGTCAATTTTTAACTGTGTTAGTAACATCAACTCAGTCTAATAGAAGGATGTGATGATGACGAAAATATAATATTGATATTAAGGAAAAAAAATAGTAAAAGATTTTTTTAAATACAAAATAAAGAATAGACAGATTTGCACAAGCATATTAACCATAATAGAATGACATGAAATTCAATTATGTTTTTCCTTCCCTCAATCTATTTTTTCTTTTAGTTTTAATTTTTTCACACTTTTATTTTCTTAAAATACAAATTTATCAGAATATATATTTTAAACTTTTCTCAGTAACACGCTTGTAAAATTATTTTCAAATCCAAACATAATAATAATAATAATAATAATAAATTCAAAAGTTTGTGCTTATTTATTTTTTAATTTCAAATAAAACACAATAACTTTGTATTAAGAAACTTAATTAAGAAAAAATTAGCATCATGCTGCGGTTGTTGGTTCTTTCAATAGTCTAATTGTTTTTTTTTCTTTTTTTTAACTCACACGTCCGAGATTCTTAATAAAACTAATCTATTAAAATTTAAACTCGTGACTTTTAGGTTACAAGTTCTTTGGGTGGTTTAGTTGTCTTCGTCATATGTTTTGAGAGGCCAATGAATGAGCATATTTATCTGGGAGGCCAGTACAGAAGGGTTCCTCTCGTAAGCTCCTCCTACCATCCGGAACCAACCTCCTGCTGATCTTTCTCTGTTTTTGTTTGCTTAGGTCCTGTTGCGTTGTCAATACGAGAAGTCAGTTTCTTCCTTTTTAATCTCTTGTACCAAAAAATGTGCACTAACCTATTAGAAACTCATGATTGTATAATTTCCCCATTTCGTCCAATTCCATGAAAGAATTATAGATATTACCTATAGGGCACAAAGACCATAAATTTCCATCCTTGTTTCCCCAGGTACAATAAAATCCAAATCTACTGTTAAGCGACTGCAAAACGACTTCAACGATTTGATCCATACTTTGTAATGGTACGGATGCAAAATTAAGAGTTCACATTAGTATATTAGAGATTGCAGTAGGAATCCTCCTTCTCCAGTTCATCGCCTTAAAATTGAAAAACTTTGTTGACACTCCATCTGAAAGCAACTTGCTTCACATCAAGTGCCTAATTTTATTCTTCTCTTCTTCCTTACACATTTGAAAAAGAAGCGTGAGAATCATTTGTAATTTTTCTGTAAAAGAGCTGGCAAAAGTACCTTCAATCAACTGCAATGTGCGCTATTCACAGACTAGTTAAGAGGTTACTTTGCCATACATTTGCAAGCAGAGGAGTGAAGACCAGATGAAAGAGCAAGAATAGCTCATCCTTGATATTAGATGACAAGTTACAAAATAATGGAAAACCTACACCCCATGTTTATTAATCATGTTCCATGATTGCAAGCCCTTGCATAAACATAAAAATCCTTCAAAGAGAGTTTAATCATTACAGAATCATCTAAGTATAACCAACGCAGATCATGTATATACGGATACAGAAGAAACAAATCGAAAAGACTAATATCAGTTGAATTTCAAAAGGCAAACCATTGATTTACCACCAAATCAAAGCGAGGACCACCAAGAAACCAATGAAAAAGAAGAGATTTTTCAAAACATTATCTGCCTGCTGCCCTCGAGTCCTAGCTGGAGGAAACCGGTGTGCATGGTTGCCGTGAAAACCATGAAAGCCATACGGAAATCCAGATGTTGCTCCATACACAGTAGCATCTGGGAACCCTTGAAACTGAATATTAAACAATGATGGGAAAAGAGATAGACCACCAAAAGCAGTTGAAAAAGTAAAGCTACCACTCCTTGCAGTTCCCGTCGGCATAAATCCTCCCGCCATTCCATATCCAAAATTGGGTAAATTATTTGCATTTGGAGGAGGGGCAGTTTCAGGCCTTTGACCAGACGGGCGATGAGGAATATCAATACCCGGATAAGATTTAGATCGAGGGTCACTCTGTGTTTTCCCTCTACCATAAAGGGGAACCAATTTCTCCTCTTGTATGATGGCCTTACAAACTGGGCATTCATGAGATTGCGAATGATGGTGCAACCATCGGTATAGACAAGGCCAACAAAAGAGATGACCACAAAGAGTTACAATCGGGTCTTGAGCTAATTCAAAGCAAATATTGCATTCAAAATCGCCTGCATCATTTCCATTATTGCTCGAGTAAGCGGAGCTTTCCGGAGGCACACTTGTTGATTCTGCAAATCCACCCTCCATCTCTTTATCCAAAAACCCAACAGCCTGTAATCAGATAACATCCACAGTTACCATCAAGAAAAAAGTATTTATGCTTCAAATATAAAACCTTAAACACAAATAATCTCCAAAAACAAAACTTGTCACCTTCATTTACAATTAATCAACAAACTAGAATTCACCCAATTCCACAAATCTAGCATAAAACAACTTAATCAAAGGAAATTGACCCAATCCAATAAATCACAAGATCATAAAAAACTCACCGTGTAATAAGCCTAAAACAATAATAAAAAAAAGTAAAAACTACCCCTTACAGACGACCACAAGAACATCATAATTCAGTATTCCAAAGCCTTGAAAACCATAAAAAGTTTCGAACTTTACAAATCCAAACATAAAACAGATCATGGTAAACAAGTAAAAACAATCAACTACAAACAAAAATACATTAAAATCCTCTAAAAAAAAAACCAAATCATATATGAACACAAACGATAAAACAGTCAAAGCAAAACTTCATACTCACCTGGATTAGAGAGAGAGAGAGAGAGAGAGAGAGAGAGAACGAGGAGTCTTTGAAAGTTAATATTTTATTAACTATGAAAAGGGAAAATGAAGAAAAGTCGGGCTGGCTGATTCTGAATGGGGGTTTCTTTACTTCCTTTCTTGATTTTTTCCTGGTAAACGATGTGCGGGAATTGATTTCGGTGTGACAAGTTTGTGCTTGCTTGATTCTAAATGCTAAAGAATCAGACGGTTAAGGATTTTGATAGGACGTGATCATCTCTTTGAAACGTTTGATGTACGGATCTATAAGTTTTGGATGGTGCCATTTAGTCGAAACCCAGTGAGAGAAAGCGTGTAGTATTCCCATGGGAAAAACAGAGGAGTCTGAACTTCAGGCCATGGGCTTTCTGTATTTACAAAAGGAAGGATCCAACGGCTTGAGAGGAAACTTAGGGATGGCCCATGGGCCATATATAACACATGTAACACTGCTGTAATCGGAGTTGTATTTTGATTTACCATTCTAAATGTACGTAATCCTCCAAGATGAGATACTCAAATGAACCAATTACTATTTCATTGCGAGTTTTTTCACATGGAGCTGCTTCCAATGCAAAACGAGTTACTTTTTTTTTTTTTTTTTTTGGCAATTTTTATGGTTAAGTTAAGGCATTGTAATTGTAGTGGGGTTTTTTCCAAATATATAGTCCATGTATTTTTCAAATTGTTTTGATAGAGATCTTGTATTCTTTTTTATATTAATTGAGTCCTCTCTTTGTTGTAATGTCATTAATTGTGAGCTAACGTAGCACGTCCACTTCTAAATACATGACAAATATCTCACGTGGAACCCCAATAAATGACTTAATCAAAACAATTTGAAGAACACAGGTACTCAATCAACACAATTCAAGGAGTAAAGTGATCAAATTATTGTTTTATTTTTTTAATTTATATGTTATTGTTTTTTTAAGACTCATTTTGAATGTGGTCATATGTGAAACTTTATCACTATAAAATTGTGAAGGTTATTTTTAAAAAATTATTATAATAATTTAAAAATAATAAAATACATACAAAATAAAACTAAAAGGTCATTAAAAAAAATAGAGTACAAATATATTTCTCAAAATTAAAATAAAAACAATAGTAATGTTGATTCGGAACTAATTATCTATATTTAATTAAAAAAAATACGGTGTAGTCTCTAGTTTTTTTTTTTTTTAACGTAACTCTTTTTTTTACTTTGAATTTGTCAAAGATTCAAAAACAATTACTTTTTATGGAGGATTAGGCTCAATAACTAAGAATTTGTATCTAATTGATATTGCACATCACCATATTTTTGTTTTAATAATTGCATGCTAGGTTCGTTTTTTTTTCCTTCTCTTTTTGCATATTAATTATTGTTTTAAATTTATTATAACAATTTGTTTTACAAAAAAAAAAAAAAAAGCTTCATATTTTTTACTGTGATTAGGTTTCACGTGTGACATATTTCATGTATTAGGGGTGAAATAAAAAAAAAAAAAACAATAACATAGAAATTAGAAATGAAAAAATAAGATTTGGTTTTATACTCTTCGAATTGCGTTGATCGAGTTCTTATATTCTTTGAATTATTTTAATTAAGTCTTTTACATATGACATGTTTCATGAATTTATGAATGGACATATCATGTCATATCACAAACTAACAACGTTATAACAAAAGGATAAAAACTAAACAAAATAAAGAACATAAAGACTTAATGAACACAAAAAAGAATACAAAGTTTCAATTAAAATAATTTAAAAAATATAGGGACCATATTTGAGCAAAATCCAACTATAAATCTTTCAAATTACCAACCATTTAATATTTTTATTTGTTGAATCGTAATAATTTTTCATATAGTTTAGTAATTTAACTAATTATTCATAATGAAGCTAGTTACTAATATATTGTACAATTATGACTTAAAATGTACATTATTACCTTTAAAAGGAATGATTTGTACATTGTTAGCTTCAAAAGGAATTTTTTTTTTTTTAGTTCATAATAAGTAAGTAATTATAAGTTGTTAAATGAATTCACTTAATTCACGATAAGAAAATATCTTACCTTTTCCTAATTTAATAATTTCTCTGTAATTATGATAGTTATAAACAATAAAGTATAATTTCAATTAAAAAAAATAACTCAAAAAACTTATTTAGAGGTTCATGAAATTGAGAGAACGAAATACTATTTAAAAGGTCAATAGTTTCTATTTTGACAAGCTCTTTTTTTCAAAAGAAAACTTGTTAGGGAAAAGGTAAATTCAAAATTAAAATTAAATAACTAATTCTTAAACGAGTTAAAATTCAAAAGAGTATTATTAATTGGATTTTTTTTCTTTCTTTTGTTTTTTTCAGTAATTTTCTTTTATTGATTGAAGAATAAGATGGTAACTTATAGCACGTCCATGTTTGAAACATGCCATTTTTGCAATCAATTTAAAATTTTAATTGATGTTGTTATTGTTTATAATAAATCCGTTGTGCTGTATCTTTATAATGCCTTATACTTTAAGTTTTCATCCGTATTTATCTCCACAACTTAACAATAATACATTTCTTTCTTAATATTGCATTGTCAAGTCAAGTTTTGTGGATTAAATGGGTGGACTTGGTGTATGAGAACTTCCAGTCTTTGACAACTACGTAAATTCGACTAGGAATTTTTTGTTATTAGTCTTGGGCATTCGCCACCATGGTCCATGGAAAAGTATCACCACCCCAGTTTTGCTTATGGCACTAGCTACCCATTAATTCTTTTAATTCTGAAAACTTGAAGTCACAAGTCAAAAAGGATATTGCCCTGGTAAAATGTTGGAACAATTTTATTGTAGATTAAATTAAATACTGCCGATGCCTATTGAAACTATAAATCTCTACTCTTTTTTTTTTTTTTTTTGTAATAATCACCCTGAGATATTTTTCGCATTCTCCATGGCTAGTTGGGTTTCATTGAATATCTTCACTCAATAATTATTAGGAAACGAACCAAATAAAAAATATAATAGAAACACACAACATAGAGATTTTAGGTGATTCAAAAATAACACCTATTCCGCGGCTTCATTACGAGCTCTTATTAGAGTTTATCAAGTGATAATTATAAATATAAGTAGTATTGTTTTTATTTATAACAAAATCATCGTACTGATCCGTATAATGCTTTATATTACGAGCTTTCATCCATATCTATTTTCACAGCTTAACAATAATGTCTTTCTTCTTAATATTGCAATGTCAAGTCAAGTTTTGTGGATTAAATGGGTGGAATTGGTGTATGAGAACTTCCAGTCTTTGACAACTACGTAAATTCGACTAGGAATTTTTGTTATTAGTCTTGGCATTCGCCACCATGGTCCCAAGTATTGCTTATGGCACTAGCTACCCACTAATTCTTTTAATTCTGAAAACTTGAAGTCACAAGTCAAAAACTATATTGCCCTGTTAAAATGTTGGAACAATGTTATTGTAGATTAAATTAAATACTGCCAATGCCTATTGACATAAGCATTCAAAGTCATTAGCTAGAACTAGAGTAAAATATTTGTTCATGTCATGTCATAATCACAAGTAACAAAACTTATATTAAAGTATCATATTCTTTAAAAACTTAAATTATTAAATAAAATTTAAAAATATGATTTATATAATTCGTTAATATATTCATTCAAATAAAAGTCTTTTGGAGATTGGAATTTACAATTGTTTCTTTCGACAGGTGCGAATTCACTACCTGTTTAGGAAAGCTAACAAATGTGTTGACTGGTTGACCAACAATTCACAATATCGTCTCAGACTGTATCGACTTAGTTCGACCTTTTACGTATGGACTATGGAGCCTAGAAGGTGCGCTCTATGGTTTTCTTCTAAGGGCTTAGGCCTTCTTCTCGATAAAAATAAATAAATGATCTTAGTACTCATTGATTGTTGTTGTTGTTGTTTTTTTTTGTTTGTCCTGGAGAGATAAACCTTTCCTTCGGACCGAAGGCTTCACTGTTGATTACTTCCTTGGTAAGTCCACAGATGAGCTTTGGTTGTCACAATTATAATTCTCTTTCATTAATTAACAAATTTGGTGTTTTTTTTTTAAACCATATTTTGCTTAACGAGACAATTTTCATCCCTTTTTTTTTTTTAATTGAGTTTTACATACTATTAGTGACGTTGCTTTTTTTTTTAAAAAAAAAAGATCAAATAAATATTTTCGTTAATAAATACCCACTAAGAATACTCAATGGGTATTGAAGTGGATAAAAGTAAAAAAAATACATATCAACTAATACGGTTTTAGGATATGGGTACCCACTAATTTATTTAGATTTTCTTTATTAACATGCAGGGGTCTAATTGTATAAAATTTAAAATTAAGAATTAAAATATTTTTTTCAAAAACTTTGAGGATCAAAAAAACCTATAAATAAATGACTAAAATACAAAAAAAATTAATTTTAACAATAATTTTTTTAAAATTATAAGAATTAAAATAAATATTTTTAATAAATTAAATTTAAGAAAGTATTTAATGAGTATTAAATTAACAGATAAATTAGTATGAAATGAGGATGAGCTCCATACAGATTTATATAATGATTTTTTAAACATAAATATGATAAAAAATTAAATTAATGAATTAAATATGTAATGATTGCCATCCCTTGTCCACTTGTAATTAACGGAGACGAAAATATGAAAAGAACGGAGGATTTAATAGACACTCCTCCTCATCAAGCTTTTTAAACAAATCAGCCTTTTTCATTTCAAATCGTTTTCTAACTGTGTAACCTTCGATCAATCGAGACATGAGTTTTCAATAATCCATCTTTTTGGTATCAGCTATCACAAAAAGAGTTGAGCTAAAACCAATAATACGACAATGGCAGACCCACCAGTGTGTCCTTTCACCTTCCCCGTGTGTTGTAGAAAAAATTCGAACTCAGAGATTTTTTGAAAGAAACGGAGATACTAATGCCATATGAACTAGCAAAGTATAAGATTTTTATTTCTACTTTATCTTTGGTTAATCTACAAAAAAAAAAAAAATCTTTATTTTTTGATTCGCAGGCCAATTGATACATTATTATATATATTTTAATAATCTTAAACGAGTAGTTTTTACATCAACTTAATACATTTTTAAAAAATACAATTTTGGTAATTGGCAAGGAAATTAACATTTTCTTTGTTAAGTCAGCTAGCATCAATTTATAAGCAGACGGAAAATATAAAATACTTCATATAGGAAAGGAATTGTACTTAATTCTGTTTTCTCTTTATTTTTTTTATTTTTTAATTTATCGTAAGTCAAAAAACTTAGATTAATTTCTTATTATGCCATCGGATGCACAAAATATAAGATAACTATCATGAGAGTCTTTTACATATACAAATATTTTAATTTAAAATTAATTATTTAAACTATTAGAATATTTTATTCTCAAAGCAATAATCTTGAATAGTACGTTTGTTTAATTGGAAGTCAGGAATTGTACTTGACGTGATAATTAAGGAATTATTATTTATCGAGGTAAGGGAATCCAAAAATAAAAATAAAAATTATTAGGCTTATTTCTGTTTATTTGTCTCTCATTTCATGGATATTGTTTCAACCAATTTTGCCCTTCTTATCTGTAACGTAGGGTAAAATTAATAATTTGCTCATCTTCCAGTAAAATACTACCCACTCATCAATTTATAGCTTAATTGCCATTAATTTCTCTCACTTCGATCATTCAATTTTCAGCTTAAGTTTCTCTTTTTAAAAAAAACAAAAAACAAAAACAAACAAACTTAGTCATTTTTTTTTCCAGAATGAGTAAAACAAAACCACTGCACAAGATTAAATTTAAAACTCGAGTCCATGGATAGTACTATACCAAACGAAGTTGGGATGATCCTTCCTTGTTACGTAAACAATTGCTCCATGTACACCAAACGCAAGACAGATTTTTGTTGGCCTTAGTCGTTGGGCAATTCAATGCCAACATTTATGAGGGTACGTGTCCATCTGGTATGGTAAAATCTGATAGTTGTCTCCTCTGTAGGTCCTCATCATAGAATGCAAAATAAGAATCCAAAACGAAGCATTAGAGCTAATTGTTAGAGAGTAATGCAACGAAGATTCTGCTAATTGTTTGTCATTTTCAACCAAATTGAATTCAGATTTATGATTTCTGTGGTACTTCAAACCAATTGACAACGGCTAGTTCGTAGTGAAGTTTGCACAAATAGAATGATGCAAATTCCAGCGCTTTGGTGATTGCTTTTTCAAAAAGCTTTTGGATGGAGCATAAATTTTCAATTTGACCTTCTTGAGCATTTTTAACTTTTGTATTCTAAAGGGAGAACAATTAAAAAAACAGTCGCGATCATTGTCACGAATACATGACTTCCTGTAATATTAAAATAAGAATAAAAAAAGATTTTAAACAGCTTATATAACGTAACGGTCATTTTTTAAAATTATGTCACAATAAATTTTTAATTATCAAACTAGTTTGAATTGGCTTTTTGGCTAAAAAAAAGAAACCAACCTCTCCCTCAATATAAATGAAACAATATTATTGTAGATTAAATTAAATATTGTCATTGCCTCTATTGACATAGCCATTCAAAGTCATTAGCTAGGACTAGAGTAAAATATTTATTCATGTCAAAATTACAAATAATAGATTTTATGTCAAAGAACTATTTCATTCAAAAACTTAAATTATTAAATAAAATAAAAAATATTATTTATATTATTTTTTAATATAAAGAAAGTTTTTTAATTTAAAATTTATACATATTTCTTTTAGCAGATGCAAATTATGTGCAAATTCACCACGTGTTTAGGAAAGCTACCAAATGTGTTGACTGGTAATTCACAATATCATCTCAGACTTGGCGATCCATTATTGTATGGACTTAGTTCGACCTTGTACGTATGGACTATGGAGCAAGCTTTCCTAGGATGTGTGGCTCTGTAGTTTTCTTTTAAAGACTTAGGCCTTCTTCTCGATAAAAATAAATAAATGATCCAAGTAATCATTGATTTTATTTTTTATTTATTTTTATTTTTTTGTCCCGGAGAGATAGACTTTTCCTTCGGACTGAAGGCTTCACTGTTGATTACTTCCTTGGTAAGTCCCTCGATGAGCTTGGTTGTCCGAATTATAACTCTCTCTTTCATTAACAACTTTGGTGTTTTTTCTAAAACCATATTTTGCTTACCGAGACAGTTTTCTTCCTTTTTATAAATTGAGTTTTACATACTATTAGTGATGTTGTTTTTTTTTTTTTTTTAAATGACCAAATAAATGTTTTCCTTAATAAATACCTATAAAGAATACTCAATGGATATTAAAATATATAAGAATAAAAAACACATATATCAACTAATTCGGTTTTAAAATATGAGTATTCACCCTTTATCCTATCAATATCTATTAATTTATTTAGATTTTTTTTATTAACATGCATGAATCTAATTGCATAAAATTTAAAATTAAGAATCAAATTTTTTTTTGAAAACTTTTGAGAACCGATAGAATTTATAAATAAATGATCAAAATTTTAAAAAATAGATTTTAAGGATCAAAAATACTTTTCTTAAAAATTATAAGGATTAAAATAAATATTTTTAATAAATTAAACTTAAGGAGTATTAAATGAACAGATAAACTAATATGAATTCGATAATAATTTATATAGTATTTTTTTAATAAATAATAGATAAAATATTATTTTTAGATAAAATAAAAAATTAAATTAATGAATTGGTTATTCGTGGTTGCCATCCTTGTCCACTTGCAATTAAAGGAGACAAAAATATGAAAAAAAAATAAAAATAAAAAGGATTTTAGAGACACTCCTCCTCATCAAGCTTTTTAAACAAATCAGCCTTTATCATTTCAAATCGTTTTCCAACTCTGTAGCCTTCAATCAATCGAAACATGAGTTTTCAATAATCCATCTTTTTGATCTCTCCATCTTTTGGTGTCAGTTATCACAAAAAGAGTTGAGCTAAAACCAACAATAGTACAATGGCAGACCCACCAGTGTGTCCCTTTACGTTACCGATGAGCATCACAAAAATAGAATCAGTGCCCCAGCAGGGCAGAACCATGGTTTTTCACCTTCCCTGTCTGTTTTTGGAAAAAATTCGAACTCAGAGATTTTTGAAAGAAAAGGAGATGCTAATGCCATTTGAACTAGGAAAGTATAAGATTTTTATTTCTATTGTATCTTTGGTTGATCTACATATAAACAAAAAAATCTTTATTTTTTTATTCGTTCATAAGAATATATCTTTATATTAAATTGCACGCCAATTGATACATTATTATATATTTTTTAATAATCTAAACGAGTCGTTTTACATCAACTTAATATGTTTTTAAAAAAAATAAAAAGGTCTATTGAATTTGATTGTTATGCCACTTACCTTCTTTCTTTTTTCATTTGAGCTTTATTATTGAGTGGTTTCAATTTCTACCTTTATTTAAAAAGGACGACAAAATATAAATTACGAGGCGGAAATATGTTTTTGCTCTCTTTAATCCAATATACCAAAAAAGAGAGTATGTTTCAATATATAATTTTTGTTGAAAATATGGTAATTGGCAAGGAAATTAACATTTTCTTCGTTAAGTCGGCTAGCATCAATTTAAAAACAGACAGAAATATAAAATACTTCATATAGGAAAGGAATTGTACTCTAAAAAATCTAAACTAATCCCTCGATATTTTGTTAAATACATAAAATAAAAACTGTTATTCAGAAAACTTTTTGTATATATAAATATTATTCGAGATCACTTACTTAAACGATTAAAATTTTTACTACTCAAATCATCATCTTGAATCGTACTTCTATCTGTTTTATTGAAAGTTAAGAATTGTACATAACGTGATAATTAAGGAATTATTACTTGTCGAGATAAGGGGAATCCAAAAATTAAAAAAAGTTAATAGGTCTATTTCTTTTTATTTGTCTCCTTTTTTTCTGGATATCATGTCTCGACCAATTTTGCCCTTCTTATCTGTTAAGTAGGGGTAAAATTAATAATTTGGTCTCTCTTCCAGTAAAATACTACTCACTGATCAATTTATAGCTTAATTGGCATTAATTTCTCTCCCTTCCATCATTGAATTTTCGGCTTAAGTTTCTCTTTTATAACCCAAAAAAAAAAACAAAAACAAAAACGTAGTCATCTTTCTTTTTCTTTTTTCCTTTTTTGGGGCAGAAGGAGTAAAACAAAACCACTGCACAAGAATAAACTTAAAACTCGAGTCCATGGATAGTAGTATACCAAACGAAGTTGGGATGATCCTTCCTTGTTACGTAAACAATTGCTCCATATATACCAAACGCAAGACAGATTTTTGTTGGCCTTAGTCGTTGGGCAATTCAATGCCAAAATTTATGAGGGTACGTGTCCCTCTGGTATGGTAAAATCTGATAGTTGTCCCCTCTGTAGGTCCTCATCACACAAGGCAAAAATAATAATCCAAAACGAAGCATTAGAGCGGGACAGTATACAAATTTGACCACAATCCACCTTCAGGATTAGTAGAGGGTCACCCTCCAGGGTGCCCTTTTTTCAGGTCTATTGATTTTTTTTTATTTTTTTAAATCCTTCAAGATATCTCAAACCCAAAAACACATACTAATGTTTTACTGTTTTATCGAACATACAAGGCGAGAAAAGTTATCTAAAAAGTTTTTTTTTTACATATATAAAGATTTAAATTTGATATCGTTTGTTTAAACAATTAGATTCTTTTTCATTCAAACAAACACTCTTAGGTTGAGACTATTAATCTTTGAACTATAGTATATGAGATAGTTTTCTCTATTATATAATAATTATATAAACTAAAATTATTAAAACTTGAACATACTTCACTAAAAGAACATATTTCAATATAAGATTTCTCATCAAAATAAATAGCTTCATGCAGTAATGTTTAATTTTGCAAACATTTATTTGCAAGTTTCGTTTAGATATTAGATGAAAACAAAGAAAAAAAATATTTTCTTTATATATTTACGGACAATGAAGTATTTTTGAATTAATTTTTACATCAATCGAAATTAAATCTATTACTTATTACGTTAAGTTATCATCAAAATATGTTTAGTCTTTCGTCGATTATCGAATTCTTTCTTACATATATAACAAAACAAAATAAATAAGGCATTAGTTAACAATATCAAATTTTTTTCAGGTGCATTTTCAACATTTTTATATAAAAAAAGTTCATCTCGAGATTGATTGGACTTGGGTTATGCAATAAAATAGTCGTTCTCTTCAGTATTTTTAAGTGGCGTTATTCCCACTTCACAACTTGTTATTTTCATTCTATCATTTTATATAATGATACTAATATGTTTGTATTGACTATGTATCTTAATTACTCTGTAATTTTAAGTTCTAAAATAATTTCTTTTTATGTTCCTTTGAAAATAATAACAAGAAAAAAAAACCTATATTTCAAGAATGTTATTTTATTTTTAATTAACAACTTTGTATTTTAAAGCATATATTTTCTTAAATAATATATTTTGGAGGATCTAACTGGCGAAATAGGAGTTGATACTTTTTAATTTTAATATCTACCAACTCAATTTTTAGATCTCGCAAAACATTTTCTAAAAAAGATTTGCATAAGCAAATTAAGAACGTTATCTTACCTAATAGTTTTTATTAAACTTATTTTTTAAAAAAAGCTCGTGTATTTTTCAATAAATCTAAAAAAATAAACAGTTATATAAAATAAAAAATCGCCAGAGTCCACATACGCGCAGGCCCAAACAGCTGATTTTTCCAACTCTCCATGTCCGCCAGTCATTAGCTGATTTCTTCTTACTATTTTAATCCTTCTCTACCTTCCATCCTCCCATCAAAAACCTGTTCCACTTCAAGAAAAGAAAAAAGACCACCAAAAAATCACGAAACTGCATGACCAAACCACCAAACCAACCACAAAAACGGTGGTGCTCCTCCTCTCGAAGCCCACACCTCCACCTTGTAATACTCCTCCACTACCAATAATCTCCATGATCACTGAAACAGTAATCTACTACCTCTCCGAACACCCCTCTATAGTCACTTTCCGATGGAGCCACATCCAATCGTGGGGCTCAACTTGGTCTTTTCTCTTGACCTCCATAGCCTTTTATCTTGCCTTCTGCGCATTAGTCCATCTTTTCTTACAAATCTTTATTAAACGTGGCCGTCCTGTCCCTCTCGGTCCAATCCCAGCCGTGTACAGCCTCTTTATGGCCTTAATCTCCGCCATTATTTTCTCCGGAATCCTCCTCTCAACTGCCGCCGAGATCCAGGAAACACGGTGGTTTTGGCGAAGGTCGAAAACCCCATTTCAATGGCTCCTTTGTTTCCCTCTCGGAACTCGTCCTTCAGGCCGTGTCTTCTTCTGGTCTTACATGTACTACTTGTCTCGGTTTCTGCATATGTTCCGCACCTTCTTCACAATTTTAAGGTCACGCAAGCTGGTTTTTTTCCAGCTCGTCAATAGCTCTATATTGACCTTCATGTCCTTTCTATGGCTTGAATTCTCTCAATCGTTCCAAGTCTTGGCGATTTTGTTAGCAACTTTGGCATACTCCATCGTTTATGGGTACAGATTTTGGACAGCAGTTGGTTTGCCATCTGCTTGCTTTCCTTTTGTGGTGAATTGCCAGATTGTGTTGTTGGGATGCAATGTTGCTTGCCATCTTGGGGTGCTGTTGCTGCACTTTATGAAAGGTGGGTGTAATGGGATTGGGGCATGGCTGTTCAATTCGGTGCTTAATGGGGCTATTTTGTTGCTGTTTTTGAACTTCTATTTGAAGATGTATCTGGGGAAGAGGAAGGAGGTGATAAGTGCGGCAATGGAGGAGGCTGAGACGATGAAACTTAAAGAGAAAGAAGGAATTTGAATGTTTATCTTTTTGGTTACTGTAATTTCGGCCGGGACAACAATCGGAGAGGACAATTGTATAGCATATATGCTACGTAAAGTAGGTTTTATTTCTTGTTCTTTCTCTCTTTTTTTTTTTTTCTTGATTTTTATAAAATATTGTACACTAGCACTAGAGTTTTTTTTTAATAAAAAAATCAAGTTTTTGAGTTTGGATGAATGAATGGAATCCAATTTATTAGTACAAATCAATGCTAGTTAAAATCACAATGTGCAATATATATATTTTTTTTCCTATAATTAGTTCCTTCTCGGCAAGTTCTTAACTTTGTTTGTACGGAGGAAGGATAGAAGCTCCAAAAAAAAGTTTCGTTCTTGTTTCTTCTGGAGAAATTCATAAATTTTTCAGAATTATTGGATTTTATGTGTTGATTTTTCACTCCATCAAAAAGACTTAAATTATATACATATATGGTGGATGGGGTGTACTTTTCCTTTTTTTTTTTTTTTTACTTGATAAATAGATGTCTTACCTTTGCAGTTTGCAATTGAAGGTGTCTTTGTCGCCGTCGACAGCCAAGCAAGAAAGCATATGCTTTTTTAATACGCTTTATTCCCTTGTTTGAGATGACTATCAAATTAATATACGGCGATTATTGGACTCTCTAACAATAATGGATGTAGTTATTCATCAAACTAATGAGTCCTGAGATAGCAAGTCGTTGGTGAGGGTTCGAATTCTAATGTCATCATTTTCGTTCTCTTTTGTCCGTTTTGAATTTAATTAATTGTATCTACGATTGGAATATAATTAATGAATTTAATTAGTTATATTTTAAATTCAAATATAATTAATTCTATTTTTAACATCTTCAATTTGAATATAATTAATTATATTTTTAATTTAAAAATAATTAATTTTATCTTTAATGTGAGATGTGTATATTAAAAAAAAAAAACCTATTGAGTACTAGTCTAACTAATACTACAACATTAACATTTTCTTGGTAAAAGAAAAAACTATTCGTAAAAAACAATAATAAAAACAATTGTCACAGAACTCATGATTGATGAGGTTGTTGTATCTGCGAAGTATCATTGGTTAGTGGAAAGCGAATGTCGTGACATACCCAGGCAACAACCCAGGTGACTACTTTGGCTTCTTACGGATGGAATATTTCCTTCTTTTTCCTTTCGGGAGTAAATTTATAAATCAGTCCCTCTTTTTTTAAAAATAAATTAATTAGTTTCCTTGTTTCAAAAATTAATTATTTAGTCTTTATGTTCTTAATCTACTTGTAATTTAGTTTTTTTTCTATTTTTCTAATTATTTTTATTTTTTAAAATAAAAAATAAAAATAATATTAAATTAAACATGATCAAATGACTAAATAATAATTTTTTTAAAAAAGGGACTAATAATTTACTTTTTGAAACTAAAAAGACTAATTTATAATTTACTCTTTCATGTGAAGGCTGGAACGATGGAATATTTCAGTCCATTTTACGAAGTCAAAAAAGATGAGCGAGGGGTGACAACTAGATATGGCGACTCCTTACTGCTACGACACTTATTTTCCACACCCACTGACTCAGATATTGGTAAGACCAATTCTGCCCATTACAAGTTCCAATTTGCAAACTTATTAGTACCGCAGATATCCTCAATTTTGGCATACCAAGAAAGCATGTTGGACGACTCTTTTGTAGAGTAAATTATAAATTAGTCCCTCTTTTTTTAAAAAAAATTAATTAGTTTCTTTTGTTCAAAAAATAATTATTTAGCCCTTATATTTTGAAATTTACTTATAATTTAATCCTTTTTATTCTTTTTAAATTTATTTTATTTTTTTATTTTTAGAAATAGAACAAAGAAAAAAAAACATGGCAAGATTGATGAGAAAATAAAAGAATTTTTAGAATAAAAAATAATATTAAATTAAATATAATCAATACCGATTAAAAGCTTTTAGTCCAGTGATAATGCTATTTTATAAAAAATCACAGATTTAAATACTAAAATATTGGTTTTGTTGGAAATCTTAGATGTGTGTGTTGGATGTATGAGTTAAATAATAATAATAATAACACTGATTAAAAAATTAATTAATGGTTTTTAAAATGAGAGGAACTAATTAATTTATTTTTTGAAATTAGAGAGATTAATTTATGATTTACTCCTTTTTTTTTTTTTTATGGGTGGTTTAATCTTATGTGTTTTCAAGTAATCACAAACTTGTCAGGTGGAAATTAATGAACCCTTGATCTGAAATAAGAATTTCTTCAATCTTATTGAAAGAAGGTTCCAAATTACAAGCTAGTAAACAAGTCGACGTGACAATCTCACGGGGCATCAGCCCACATGCCAACAAAGGGAAAAACATATCATAATTCATAGCCGAAAATAATCATGTTTATTTAATTATTTGCAAAAAAAATAACAGCATATTTGGTTAATTTATTCTTAAGATTTTTTTTAATGTGATCTCTCTCGTTTTTTTTATAATTTTTTTGTTCAAAACAAAAAATTTAATGCCATCTCTCGATGAAACTTCCACCCAATATCTTATTGGTTGTAACATAAAGGCCGACGTGACGGATAAAAAAATGTCACGTGCTTAAAAAACTATTTTTAAAAATATTCTTCAAAATTAATATATAAAAGTATCAAAAAAATGGAAAAAAGGACAAAAAATTAGTAAAATAAGTTATCAAAGTAAATTAAAAGAAATAAAAAAACTCTGTTATCGAAACAATATTTGTAAAAATATCCTACAATCAATTTTTTTTTTTTTTGGATTTAGGAAGCCCTCTTTATTCTCAGCATTTAATTCAAATTTTCACGTTCGAACATTAAACTTAGGTTAATAAGCCTTAAACAAAAATCGAATGGTTTTTATTTATGGATTTGTTTTATTGATCAATTATTATAATAATTGTTAGGCTAATATGAATTTTAATTTACGGGTGTTTTAATTTTAAATGCCATTGATGGCGGTTTTTTTGTTGATATTGTTTTTGCAATTTAGGACGGCGAGGTAGAGATGTAGTGGTAACGACGTCAGATTTCGTGGCGGTGGTGGTTACCAGTGACATGTGTGGTTTAAAGCAACTAGTGTTGCTGGCCGGTGGGAATTAGAGGCTCTAATAGTCTTCTGGTGGTCGATTAATTTGTTTTTAGGACAGAAGGATCCGGTTTGACGAGGACGGAAACCAGATGGAAGGTCTACATTAAGAATTTTTATTGAGCAGAGGGACTGTATAAATAAAAAAAGAAAGTAAAAGGGTCACATTAAAAAATATTAAAAGTACGAAGCATGCTATTAATTCATTTGTGCATACGACAAATGGTTATATATGGAAAATAAGTTATACTGGAAAAATATATAATAATAATAAAATAATATGAGCAAGAAATCTGATTTGACACGAAAAAAGTAGACCACCATTAGCGTCAACTCAAAAGAAATAGAGTGAGTGTGGAAAGCTAGTTAAGCTTTTAGTCACATCTACGTAATTGTCTTTCTTGACAAAAAAAAAAGAAAAAAAAATAATAATAATAATAAAGTGATTTTCCTAATCCACTGGTCAGAGAGAGACAGCCGGTTTACTCATGGTTTTAAATAAATCTGGTTGGCTTATGTAACGATTTTTATATAATAGTTTCAACATATTTTATTATCGTTATTTTAATATTATAATAAATTACGATCTATAATTATAATCATAATTATTTTTTTACCCAGGTTTACCAGTAATTGAGATTAGGTAATTGAACTGCTGCTACGAATCAGTCCTTTTCTGCATATCGAATGAAGAAGAACACTTTACACTTGTGATGGATTCATAAATGGAAAGAAGAAACTTTTAATTTGGTCTCTTAACATTTATGAGGTTCAAACCTTTGAAAGAATTGACGCTTTGTATGACGTTGAACTTTTCTTGAAGCAATTCCGCCCATGAATAATTAATTTAAAAAGACTATTATTGATCAAAAAATTTATAATTCAATGATAATAATTTTTTTATAATAAAAAGTTATAAATTCAAATCGTAATAGATTATTTTTATTAAGAGCGTTGAAAGTATAATTTAAAAAAAAATACAAAAGACTATTAGGGATCATGATGGAGGGACGGGAGAAATTAAAATTGCAATCAACGTTAAAATGATTGATCGATATGAAATTGAAACTCCCTATCAAACGTCATGAGAGAAAATAAAATTTATGTAAAAAATCTATCAATATACTCTTATATATTACACGATTTTTCAATCATTTCTTTCATAAAAAAAAATCGATCGATACATTACAACTTTTAGTTTGTTTCTATTTTCTAATATACACCTTTGACAATTATTTTAATAAAATTAATTGTCATTTGAGAAACCCGTGATATATTTAATATAAATTGATAAAAAGTATTATTTAAGTGAAGCTAAAATACCGTAAGTAATAATAATAATAATAATAATTCACAATTGCTGCATTTAAAAATTTCAATATGCAATAAAGTTTACCCATATTTGAATTCCGACAACATATATTTGTTGTGTTTTATTGTTTTAAATATGTATTTTTGTCAATTCATATTAAAATTACTCGTGTGTTACATATGTAATCATTGATTTAAATAGAAATAATTAATAAAGAGATACGTTAGAGAATAAAAATAAATAAAATTTATTGATTTTTTTTTTAAATATATGATTGATAAATGATGTAATATATAAGGATATACCGATAGATTTCTTTTTAAATTTACCCAACCAGAAAAAAAAATAGCATTGAAAATATGAAAGACATCTTATCCTAAAATGAAAATTTGAGTTTTTCACCTAAAACTACACTTTTGATTAAGGTGCTTAAATAATATGGTATACGAGTTTGCATAGTAGAATGGAAATATTATGCTTATTTTTGTATTGTTAAAAATATATAATTAACTGAGGCTACATTTATTTTGAAAGTCCTAGCACTTAAGAGGAAGAATGAATTAAGTAAAAAAATAAAACTTAACAATTTAAACTTCTACTTTTTTTTTTTTTTAAATATCATTCAACCAATTTTAATCTAATCCATTTTTCAATCTAGCAAAAATTCACAATATAAATAGAATGTTATATATATATATATAAAGAAATTAAGAGATGACATCACAATGTATAGTGGTTCAACCTAATGTCTAGTCCACTCTTTGAACAAAAAGTCAGAGTATTTCTATTATACCTTTGCTTTTTTTTTTTTTTTTTTTACAATTTTTTTTTTCAGATTCAAGATCTAAATCCTTACACAATCGATACATCAAAATAAAAAATCACAGTTATTTTTATTTTCATTTGTTTGACGCAATAAAAAATAAAATGTAGAATTTTTATTTTCATTCTATATATATATATATATATATTCTCTTTTTGTAGATTAAAATTTAGTAGCGAAAAAAAACTCCAGTATTTAAAAAATTAAAAAGCATCCACCATTAGCTATTCTATCCACTTAAAGTAAGTTATATAGACCAATCGATACATCACAATAAAGTTTAAATGATTTTCATTTCAATTTTCATATGTTATTTCAATTATTTAAATCACAGTTATTTTAATGTGATTGTCAATTAATTTATATAGCTCACTTGTGTCTACCGGTGAATGTTCTTTGAATATTGAAGTTTTCCCTTATAAGTCTTACCAATAAAAATTAAATAAATGAATAGTCCCACTAATAGAAGACTAAATTATTAATTTTATATGTCTATTGATGAATATTTTTTGGGTGTTGAGGTTTTTTCTTATAAATCTCAACAAGAATAGCTTCTGTTCCCAGGGGCAATTGACGTCCTGAATTCAAAAGTTCTAACAAGATATGCTTAGGATATATGGTAGGCAATTAAAAAAAAAAAAAAAAAACTCACATTTCAACTCAAAGTGCTATATTTCCACCTAAATTTTTTTAATTTTTCTCTTTTTTGTGTATATTTTTATTTCTGTCGTAAAATAAGAATTACTGATTACGTACCATAAAATTTATCGTTTTAATCTCTCTCGTAAAATTCTTTGATGCTAATTACCAAACAATAAAAAGAAACAAATAACAAGTGGGCCTAATATTCATTGAAAAACAACTGAGCCTGAAATTCTCTGGCCCAGCTCTGTGGACATAATGCCGTTGATATTCTCATCAACAAAATGAGCCTTATGATGGATCAATGATCCAAAGGATTGAGGCTGGACTTCACTGCTAGTCTTGACTATTGAAGACTTCCATTTTTATTTTATTTTTAATAGTTATGGTATTCTCGTATTTGTCTTCATCTGTTAACATAAATTTTTTTTTTTTTTAATTTTACGGATAGTGAAGTATTCTTATATCGGATTTCGTATCGATCAAAACTAAATCTATTATTTATTATACTAAACTAGTTTAAGAACATACCTAATTTTTAATCGACTAATTTCATTAAGGAATACTTAAGTTATTTATAAAGATCAAAGAATTGGATGATAAGTGGTTAATGCTCAAAATAAATATTTTTTAATTGGACTAAATGATAAGATATCTTTTTGTTTAGAGATTTAATTGGATATTTCAAGCAATACGAAGGACTAATCAAGGTCAAAACAAGTCAAAACTAAATCCATTGTGCAATATGTGAAGATTTGTTATGAAGAAGCAAAGAACTCGTACGTAGCTTTCAAGGACAACATCTATTCTGCTCCTTTTAATTTCGGCATCTTGTCCTTTATTTTTATTACTATCGCTACTTAGGAAAAAAAAAAAAAACTGTTTTAGTAGAAATTTTCAATATAACATAAATTTGTCAAATTCATATTGGTAAAAGAAAACAAGAGAAACATGACTTCTTCAAATATTAGGGTTAGTATTAGTTGACATATTCAATTTTTGCAAGACAAATCACTTATCTTCGGTCACAAAATAAAAGATATATTGACTATAGTTCTATTTAATCCTTATTTGAACAAATTGTTTAATTTTAGGACAACCTTAATTGGACATGACAATCTATGCCTATTGCTGAAATATCTAAAGGAGAAGTTCATACTCCTATAGGAGTAAATAATCAAGGTAAGAACTTTCAAACTTGTCAAACCACATATAAATCAAATCCTATCTCATCAATTATTCAAGCAAGTTAATATACAAGTCACTTAAGAGGTTTCTGCTCAATACCTGCTTATTTAACTACCTCAGACTCATATTGAACAAGTGTTTTCTCAATCACTTGTTGTTCAACAATTAGGACAAATTAAGGTTCCTACTACTCAATTTAATATTCCTCCTTCAATTCAATCTTGTCAAACTAATATTTTGGATGCGTTTGATATACTCCTACTTTTGATCATACTAGGAGGCAGCCTAATGCTCTCGCATTCAATCACTCTTGAGAAAATCTTACACTCATGTAATCAAAATTGCTCAACTCGCTGAATGGCCAAGAAAAAGACATAGAGAACAACCTTGTGTTTCTCAAAGTTGTCATTTCAATCACCATCTTCAACCATTGTCTCAAGAGAAGTAAATTCAAATTTATCAAGGAGATTCCATCGCTACGACCATAGAAAATATCGAACCAAAAGTTTTAGCTAATTCAATTACGACCATGAAAAATATTATCCCCAAGGTGATGGAAAACACAATCAAGACCGTGGAAAACATTGTGTTCGAGGTTGTAAGAACTCAATCAGAACAATGAAAGCTATTATGTAAAAAGTTTTGGCAAACTCGACCATGGACGTGGCTAACATTATGCTTGAAGTTATGACAAACTTGATCAGATCCGAGGCTAGTTTTAAGCCAATAAATTTAGCTAACTCAAATATGATCGGGTCAAAAGATTTAGTTAACTTGACCATATTTTAAGATACCTTTGTATCTGAAGATTTGATGGACGTAACTAAGGAAGAAATTTATTACCTTGATGATTTTTACACTCTATAGGAAGAAAAAATATTTTTTTATTATTAGGTGATGAATAATTGATGCAAGTAGTTGATTCATCTAGTCTTTTAGTGCTTCCTTTATA